CTGGGAGATATCATCAGGAAACACGGTGTTAGCTTTCACTGTTATGCTGATGATACTCTATATTTCTTCGCGGCCCGGCGAAACATACCAATATGAAAAACTAACGGAATGCATAGTCAATATAAAAAACTGGATGATAAACTGCAACATTAATTGGTTTAATTACAGATGAGTGACAATTCAACTGTATCCAATGAACAATGAGGCTCGAATTTGCTGCCCGTCTTGACTGGTGGACTAGCGCAGTGAATCTCAACCTTTTGGCATACCGGACCCCAGTCCAATTCAGAACCATCCTCAAGGACCCCCAGAACAAAATTGACTCATCTATGTATCATTTGTGTCTTTGTGAGGACCAAATACAGTCAAGTATAATTCAAGTTAGCTGACTTGTCCAGTATTTGGCCATATCATCAGCTATATTGGATTTTTCTTTCATGGGAACATGTCATGTCAAAATATACAAAATTTATACAAAAATTCATACTTTATATGGAGCCCCTGGCCTTACGTCAAGGACCACTAGGGGTCCACGGAGCCCTGGTTGAGAAACACTGCATATAGGGGATGCTACGGTTAGGGAGGCCCCTCCTCAAAGCCCGAGGTCCTAGGCAATCGCCTGCTCTGCCTATAGCTAGCGCCAGCCCTGGCACATACTCATATGAGCCCTAAATATGAACACAACGCGTTTATTTACACGTTATGTGTTTTCCTCTCATATAAAGACAAGGCTTAAAGCACAGAGACAGTGATATTAAAAGAGTACATTGTGTACACACCTTACTAATACTATGTGTGGAAAAACAAAAATATGAAATTTAAATGTAACTGTCTGTCTTAATATATAAGCCATGTTAAGCGTTTTCCTTTGTATAGTTTTCTAAAGGGAGGAAAATGTTTCATGGGTAATTCAACGTGTCGCGTTAATATTCTGGCCTCATCTGCATGTCTTTTAGCTGATTGACTGATGTCGCATTGATTTCATGTTGCATTTTTATTGGCTGGTCAGTAAACATGGGTCGCAGCAAACGCACTGTGCAGTGATCATGTTGAATTTCTGACTCTCTCAGAAAATGATCGTAGGCTATCTTTGCAAGACAGTGACAACAGCTGTCTTTGAACCTCTCTCACTGTATACGACAAACGACCACCGATTAGGAGAAAAAAAAAAAAAAAAAAACCTTTGATTGTTGATATAATAATGCTATTATCTGAATTTAAATTTGTGATGTACAAAGAAATTTTAAGTAAATATATTTGCGAATAGTTTTTGTATGTTGGCTTTCTTTATGTTTCTATTCTATCATAAGAAGTGTTAGCAAACTATCTTTCCATATATCTGATAACTAGTTGCATAAATGTACCATCTCAGAGAACCTCATCATTTGTTTGCCCTACAAAGCCCTTAGATAACGTTAAATCTTTTCATATAAAAAAATTGGTACAAACAGTACAAATATTTGTGTGCTTGTTATTTTTGTTGGGCAGTTGTGGCCTAATGGTTAGAGAGTTGGACTTGTTACTCAAAGGTTGTAGTTTCGAGTCTCAGTACCGGCAGGGATTGTAGTTGGGGGGAGTGAATGAACAGCGCTCTCTTCCACCTTCAATACCACGACTGAGGTGAGACCCTTGAGCAAGAACACAAATTTCAAGAATGGGACACCATACTTGTCCTGTCCTTTCCTTATTTTGTATTTTTGTAGTATGTAAGTGCAAGAGTCACAGCAAGTGTTCAAGAACAAGAATTGACCTCACATCCAAGGTTTGCTCAAGTGTGTGTTTTTAGCGCCCTCAAGTGGCATCTGCAATTTTTAGCTGCGTGTATTTAAAAGCTGCAAGACAAAAAAACTGAGGAAATAAGCATAGACCCGCCACACTTGTTTAACTATTTAAAAGTGTAGAAATGAATGGTCTACCTCTATCAAGGTAAATAAATATTGGCATAGTATGTTTTGATTTATAAATGATTTTAGTAGTCACACAGTGTATATGCAGCATATGATCTGTACAATGTTTGTATAAACAGTTTCAGAAAGTTTCATATTTTTAAAGGAGAACTCCAGTCTGTTAAATGCCAACATCAAGAAACAAGTATCAAGTTCTCACAGACCATTGTGTATTTTGTGTTTTTGAGAAATTAAAGTAAAATAAATGTAAGCATATCTTCAGCAAATCAATAGAGAAACTAAAAGCTCTCAGGAAGACTTTAGTCACGTGATCATGGTGTGAATGAAAGGATGTGACTGGTTTAAGCAGGAGCTGCAGCACTTTGACTATGTGCAGCTCAGAGAGAAGACGGAGGAGAAACACAAGAGACGACAATAACAATGACTTCCAACACTTACAGGTCTGTAAAAACCTATTAATACTGATCACTTCTGTTTCTATGCTGTTAAACTAGAAGAGGAACATGAAAGGAATGTTTAAAAGGAAAGTAATAGAAAAAAAATTATATATTTTAACAAATATAAACATATGACAAATTTAACTACAGTGTTTGCTGTACTTATTAAACAATATCTGTTTTATAATTGTCTCATTTCAACAATAATCTTTGAACATTACAACAATACAAAGAATGTATAGTTGTTTTTTACACTACAGTAATTTTTTTTATATAATACTTTATAACTTTTCAATATAAATGTTTACATATCACTGATAATGTTGCATGCATATTGCAAAGAAAGAGAGAGTCATGCTATATAAAGTAAATGACCGGGAGTCAAGAGAAAATGGCTTAAAGGGTCATTATGAAATTTGAAAATATTTTTCTAAGGAAATTAAAGAAAACAAACGAAAAAAAGCTTCTGAACATCCAGGATGAAGTTAAGTTTCAATAGATGATGATTTTAGACTGATAAATTCATTTTGGCCTGCTGTTATATTTCTTGTATTCAGTAAAGATGTAAAGTCTTATTAATTTTTAATGGTTTCTTTTAATTAATCACTCTTTATTAGATACCCAAACAGACTGAATTAAACTCTTATTTTGATCTGTTGTTTATGAATTAGATGATATGCTTGAAACTGTCAGACTGGAGTTATTACTCTTGGTCATGTTACATTTAGCAAAAGGCTAAACAATTGCAATAATAATAATAATATACTAATTTTCAAATCATTATTTATTTTTAATCATTAAAACATTCCCAGAACATCCCAAGACTGTTGCATTAGTTTTGTTAAAATCACTTTGAAATGAATCAGAGAGGATCACTAAAAGCTCATAATTTAATTTGATTTTTCACGTGACTGTATGAATGTATATTTGGGTGAACATGTTAAATGTTT